CCAAAATGCTAACAAGCAAGAAATAAATAAATGAAATTAGAAAAAAACCTTACTAAAAATTATAGAATTAGCGACAAAAAAGTATTCCAAAATTAAAATCTGAGTTTAAAAAATGAATAGATGACAATGGCCAACAAAAAAAAAATAAAAACAATTATGAATTTTAGAAAAAACATCAAAAAAGAGTTAATATCAAAAGGACAAGTAACTATAAATTAAAATGACTAATTAAGATTTCAGCCTTCAAGAAAGTGAGGGGCAACAAATATCAGCTCTAAACTAGTAAATTCTAATAATGTGACAATAAAAAGTTCAAAAAATTGATTCAAGTAAGATTAAGTAAATCTAGGATTATATAAAGAACCGTAAATGTTAGGGGGGGCAAAAGGACAACTAAACGAAAAAAATAATCACAATAAGTACATACATAAAAACCGAAGAGCACGAAATTTCCAGTTTATATCTAAGTCTAAAAAAAACTAAATTAAGAATACACAAATCGTGGAGGCAGGAGGAAATATTTAACAAAAACTCAAATAAAAAAACAAAAAAGTATTACAGAGAGAATATTTGTCGACATAGAAAACCGCACCGAGAATAAACTGACCGGAAATAAAAACGCCGTAATACCCTGATGGGCGGAAACGTGTAAAAAAAACAAAAAACCAAAGGCAGAACTGTACTAAATAGGATTAATTTAATTAAAAAAAAAAAGTGAAGGATCAATAACTATACACCCCTCAAAATGCAACACTGTACTGAATAATACTGAATAAAACCAAAACGGCGAGGGTGTATTTTGAACAGGGGTTTATAATAAATTTTTTTAACATAATCATTCAAAGAAATAAAAAATATTTGTTGGGCCTCATAAGTTATACTAGCCCAGTCAATTTAGACAAAAATGGGCAAATCAGTGGAACTAAAAATACTAGTTCCAATTTTTTCAGAAATGTGTAGAGGAGAGTTCCCTGAACAAGAAAAAAATAAAGTCCCTCCAAATTCCGGTGCCGCTGGGGGAAGGGGGGGGGCTTTAAACGACCCATTTTTCAGTTTTTTCGCTTTTAACTCGAAAATGGTGCGTTACAGTGGAAAAGTTCTTCAGTACAAAATGAAAGCTTATTAAATTTGCTACAAGTTTGGTTATATACATTTTTTCGAAACTGAACCGTTTTATGTTATTAATGTTCTCGTACCCATCGAATACAACGGCACAATTGGAAGAATAGTGATTTATTATATTTAATGAAGCATATTGCTCACAGATGAAAGAGAAAGTGGTCCCAACATCCCACTTGACTCTGTGAAGGAGAAAGCCACCTTCCACGACAGTGTAAATCGTTTTGAGGTGCACTACATCCATGCACACAGGGAAAGCCTCATAGAGAGCAGATTTCCTGAAGCATCCTTCGTGGAATAGTCATGGGGTATGGAGATTAATTCGTACTTCAAGCAGGTTCGTACTATAGGGATGCTGTAAGGTTTTATTGTGACGATTTTCCATTAAAATGACCGGGGGAGGATTTAGAAGCCAAAAATATACGAAAAAACGTGGAGTGAAAAACAATTTTGTTTAGAAATTACCACCTTTCCGGAGCCGGTAGCACGAAAACGGTTCAGTTTTTCGTAAAGATAAATTTAACCAAACTTGTAGCAATTTATACCTTTCATTTTGTACTGAAGAACTTTTTCACTGTAACGCACCATTTTCGAGTTAAAAGCGAAAAACTGAAAAATGGGTCGTTTAAAGCCCCCTCCTACCCCTAGCGGCACCGGAATTTGGAGGGACTTTATTTTTTCTTGTTCAGGGAACCTCTCCCTACACATTTCTGAAAAAATTGGAACTAGTATTTTTAGTTCCTCTGATTTTCCTATTTTGACTGGACTGGTAGCCCAGTCTTGGAACTGTTTGAAATTATGAATTCTACAGGCCACATTCTATAAGAAAAATTTGTTTCCGGGTCGATCTGTGACAATTTTTTTTCGGGGCTCAAAAAAGGCAGTGTATAACCTTCCTTTTTTACCAAAAATCGACTGCACCAAAATTTCTCGGGAAAACACTTTTTCTTATTAATTTTGGTGCGTAGAATTCAAAACAATTCGTACTTTTTCGATCAGACTTCTCAATCAAAAGTTATAGACTAGAAACCAATTTCGAAAGAAAATTCAAAGGGCTGTAACTTTTTAACTAGTAGCCCAATCTTGGAACTGCTTGAAATTATGGATTCTACAGGCCACATTCTATAAGAAAAATTTTTTCCGGGTCGATCTGTGACAATTTTTTTTCGGGCCTCAAAAAAAGGCAGTGTATAACCTTCCTTTTTTACCAAAAATCGACTGCACCAAAATTTCTCGGGAAAACACTTTTTCTTATTAATTTTGGTGCGTAGAATCCAAAACAATTCGTACTTTTTCGATCAGACTTCTCAATCAAAAGTTATAGACTAGAAACCAATTTCGAAAGAAAATTCAAAGGGCTGTAACTTTTGAACTAGTAGCCCAATCTTGGAACTGTTTGAAATTATGGATTCTACAGGCCACATTCTATAAGAAAATTTTTTTCCGGGTCGATCTGAGACAATTTTTTTTCGGGCTCAAAAAAAGGCAGTGTATAACCTTCCTTTTTTACCAAAAATCGACTGCACCAAAATTTCTCGGGAAAACACTTTCATTTTGTACTGAAGAACTTTTTCACTGTAACGCACCATTTTCTAGTTAAAAGCGAAAAACTGAAAAATGGGTCGTTTAAAGCCCCCTCCTGCCCCTACCGGTACCGGAATTTGAAGGGACTTTATTTTTCTTGTTCAGGGAACCTCTCCCTACACATTTCTGAAAAAATTGGAACTAGTATTTTTAGTTCCTCTGATTTTCCTATTTTGACTGGACTATACCCCTCCAAATGCATGACAGTGACTAGGGTGTATATTAGCATGAGCAGCATTTTTGGACTCCAATTAAAATTGTGTTCTGTGGACCTCTACCTAAGAAATTAGTTGACTGTTTTGGATTCTGAAGGGTTATTATTTATTTATTTTATTTATTATCCCTCTCTTGTTCTGGGCCCTCAACAGACTTGCGCCCAATTACAGAGTGGCCCGCATAATGCTTTTCAGAGGTGCCTCTGCAGAAGGTCTTAAGTTGTTCTATACTACACTCCGGTATTTACCTTACGAATTAGGAAAACTGCAGGAAAACCTAATTTGGAGTAGCCGGCAGAATGCTCGAAACTGGTCTAAGGTAACACCCGACCTCCGGATTTATAGCCTAACGCTCTACCACTGAACCATAAAGCCGGTTTTTTTAACGCAAAGGGGGCACCTCTAAGAAATTGACGACATGCATGTGAAGCTACAGACCGTAATACGTCACAGAGATAGCTAACCGCAAAATGAGGTATCGCAAAAGCATGTATCTTAATGAGAAGCAATCACTACCCTGTGGTCAGGAGAATCAAGCGATTTATCAAAGAGAAACTGCTAAAATAATCCACTTACATGTGGCCTCATCCACACGATCGAGTTAAATGGCGGTTTTTTCTGTTGGTACAGCGAGCGAGGACTGGCGGGGAAATCTGGATCCTCAAACAGAACTCCCCTTTCGCGACAACTCCGCTTGATACCATTGTAACTGATTTGCGACGTTGGCCGCTCCGAGGTGCAGTATCTGAAAATAAAAGAAAATCCATCAGCTTTTGGTCAGGGCATACGAAGAAAGTAAACCTCTAAGAAAAAGAAAGAATAGCTCATGTACGTTTTGTATTTGATAAGAAACAATCAGATTACAAAGAAATAAAAAACACAGTTCCTTCACGCCTTTCCTTCCGAGCACAACGCAGCGGTCCCTCTCAGTCCGCCGATGGTCTTACCAACACTCTCAGTGCAATGCGGCGCGATGTTCTGAATAAGCTGTTGCTGCGACTGCATGTCCATTTTCAAACGTTTCGAAGGGACGCAATTGCGAGCGCACGAAATTGATCCGCAGCAGCACAGGTTGATGGGCCCAGAGAATCGGTCCTTCAGCTGCTTTACCGAGTCGAGCTTCGGCAGAGAGTGAGGGGCGCTTGGTCCTTTATTCGGGGTTTCCTTCTTGTTCGGCCTGGTGTACTGGAACGAGCTTCTACCGCTCAGCATTAGGGATCTCCTCGTTTCGCCGCCGGCAGATTTCGGTACTGCGTCCCCTTCTAGTGATTGATCCGAAAGCGATTTGTCCATTGGAACTGGAACTTTAGGTACGTCGCGCAAAAGAGTGGTGTAGTACTCCTCGCGCTCAAGCTCGACCCTTCGCTTCGTGTACCGTTCAATCTTCGCTTGGATCATCCCGAACTCGTCCTCTGAATTCTTAATCTCCTGCTTTAATTGCGTGTAGTACTTTTGCACTTTCGCCTGAGCGACGGCGAGCATTTCCAAATTTTCGGTGGTTGCGCCCGCCGTTCCGGGCCTCTTCAATTCGGCCGCCTTCTTCAGGAGTCTCCGCTCTAAGCCTTCCAGGTGATTTTCGAGGTCCCTAGTGAAATTCGTCTCGTTTCCATCGGGCGCAATCGGCGACGGCCTCGCGTCGTTTTTCAGTCGATTGAAGGTCCTGGAGGAGAACATCAGGAACGCGGTGATTCCGGTTGCCGTCGTGAAGGCCCACGAGATCACGAACAGGAACATTTCTGTGTACGACAGCGACAAAAAATTTGGTAGGTACGTCGAAAGCATTTTGGTGAAGCTGACAGAAATTTACATTTGACAAATAATTTGAAAACGATACTGGAATTGGGCCTTTGTTTCGTACGCTACGCCTTGATTTTTTCAATGTTTATGGGACATCGTGATTTAAAATACTGTGAAATATAATCAGACCTATTGTATCGCCAGGTAAATTTAGTTACTCCTTGAAAATGAATCTCTAAAGACGGTAACTCACTGGAATAATATACCAATGTTCCTTAGTAGGGAAATGTCCAAATTACCCTTATAACTTAACAGCCAGCAAAAGCGCGAATTAATAGTCTTTAAACTTTTTACCGGTTACCGTTTTATTCAGAATCTTTATCGTAACTGGCCACTACTTATATAGCACAATGAAACGTGCTGTACTCGTTCCCTTTTTCTATAAATACGCAACTTATTATTGGTTTTGTTTCGCTCATAATGACAACTCACAATGAATTTAAAATGCACCCACTACATTAATTTCGCTTAAATGGCGGCACAGTTTTCGTTTGAAATTTGTATGTTAACTTCAACTTTCGCAATAAAATATCACGTACGATTACGCGACTTACAATTCTTCTTCTCAATAGATGTTCCTTTTCCCCTCCCCTCATATTGTATGAGCTAGAGCAATATGTGCTGCATTAAAATTATGCAAAATTGTGATAGATGTATTTTTATGCATGTTTGCGGGGCATATTTTAGTAAAAAATCATTTTTGTACTTAACTATGAATCGTGCGCCCTCTAGCGGCAAACCTAGAAGCTTGAAAATCATTTCCAGCGAATACTCTTGGCGTCTTTTACCTCGTATGCTGAGGGGTATTGCCCCAGACTCGGTGATACATTTTAATTTAAAATTCTAATCCGTGAGGGGGACTTCTTTCCAGAAGGACCATCGGACCCTCTTTTTTAGACGAGTATCCCATGCTCCACAGGATCGTTGTGCCAAGTTTGATAGTCTTTTCTGTAACATTTTTATAGAAGTGCTAACGCTGACAATGTAGTACCGGGGGGTCTGAGGGGTGTGGAACACCCCCAGTAAATGACGGCCCATGTGGCGCAGTTCAGTTAAAGCTGAACTGTGGTGCTAAGGGTCACTGGTTCGAATCCGGGTTCAGGCATAGATATTTTTAAATGTATAGTGGGTTGGGTTGGTAGAGCAGCCTTGGCTGAAACCCCGCTCACTCAAAAATAAATGCAAAATAAAATAAATAAAATTAGTTGTCCATTTTGCTACAATTTGCAGTAACCGGAGGTTTTTGGAAAAGACAGTTATTCTCGTTGGTCGTAGTCGTAGTCGTTTCAAAAAGGTCTTCAAGTTACTTCTGAAGTTTTCTACCACCAAAAAAGGCTACTATTACAACATTAAAGTCAGTGTCGTTTAAATCAAGAAAGAAGTAGGGGTTCAGAAGCAAATTCAATTGGGTTTTGTGTTCTTTTTGGGTCATTTAAAGTGAATTGCAATTGTCCGGATATTAAAGATTATTAACTTTAAGGTAATCAGAATTTTCTTGTTTCAATCGATTTCATGTGCGTGGTCATCTGGCCCTAAGTGCCTTTTTTATTTCGGCTTCAAATAAATTTTCTGTAAATGATGTTTTAATCGAGCTCAAATTACGACCTAGACAAGAGTTCCCATAATAAATTTGCCATTCGTGTCCAGGATTGTGTCAGGTGTTAATTAAAAATTTGTTAAATAATTCTTTGAAGTTTTGGGAGTGATCAAGGGGGTATTTGGGTATTAGAGTAAATTTTCAGTATGGAGCATCATAGATAATTTAGAGGTTCGGACATATTTACCCAGATGGATAGTGGTTTTGGTTAAAATTTTGGAAAGCAATTGCTTAATTGAAGGGCAATATACTTATAAGTCTTTACACGTGTTTTTTTTTGTCGTGGGGGGTTTATTCCTTAAACACTTTAGGAAGGAAATAGTTCCATGGGGCTTCGAAATTGTACCTTTTTGATGAATATTGTTAGGTTACAGTGGTAACTTGGCTTAACGATAAAAATAGGTTAAGAAAACATCAAGGTTGTGTTTTTTTGAAAAGACTGGAGAGGTGATTTACAATCTTAACTTTGAGTTTATTGGTAAGGCGGGTTTGAAACCAGCAAATTTACATTTAAATAAGACCAACCCGTCATCATTGTAGGCATTAAAAATCGCGAAGGTGGGTTTTCCTAAGAGATTTTGAGGGCATTCGCGTGGTAACTACCGAGGCGACCACTAATGTGGTCCATATAACAAAAGTCATCGTGTAAGCATGTCAGGGAAATAAAAGAGGACGTTTTCAGTATGCTCAATATAATTTAGGCGTGAAATTTGACTGCCTTGAATCGTAAGAAGGGATTGAACCTTGTTTTAATCGTAAAAAATCATCTTCATTATCGTATTAGCAATTAAGTTAATCACGAATTGAAATTGTTCCCTAATTCATACTAAGTTAAAGAAATACTTCCCCATGTTGGTCAAACTAATTAACCCCAGACAGTTACAATAGTCAAAATTGTGGTTTGTTTGTAATCTTCAAATGCCAGGATCCACCAGGAGCACAATTGCGTTTTCCAATGTTTGGCACCTGCCGAAATTTTACCGAAGAAAAATTAGCCGTCGGAGGAAAGGTACTTATTTCCATTGTCAATCGGAAGCACGAGGGCCGTAGGTACCATTTTTTTTTGTCGTTTATGTTAACATTAAAGGCCATTCTGAGAATAAGTAGCGAAATCAATCATCAAAATGGCAAAGGGATATTACTACAGAAATTGAGCTAAAATAATTATCTTGAGGGGGTAACGTGTGCACCGGAATTCCGCCAGAATTTTTCTTCGCCGGATGCTCCAGTATTTCTGCCGGTTCGCCAGGGTGCATGGCTAATGAATTAAAACAAGTAACTTTGAGTTATAGCCGTCGGCATCGGGACAAACAAGCAGAAAATGACAAGAGATATAAAGATCCAGCACTTGAACTTCATAGTATGCAATCTCTATAACGCAATTCTCGGTAACATGCAATAAATATTTAATTTAATGAGTCATTCAACTGCGGTTAGCAGTGACTTATATTGGAAGTAAATAGTTGCGTAATGGCCGATATATGTCAATAAAAAAGATGTAAGCGAACTAACCTTGACAGAGTCGAGTGCCTGTCATCTGGTTTATGTGGATGACCATTCATCCATGGTCTACCATTCGCCGCGCCGTCTGCAACAAAGAGAATTCGAGATTAGCAAAAATGATTTCATTTTGTCGACACCTGGTAATAGCTAAAATTGCGATAATGACATGGATAGTTAACGAGCTGTAAATCGCCGGAGTCAAAGGTTCCCTTCGAGGAACGGCAGCTTTTCTCGACAAACTGCTATAATGAAGAGTATGCAATCACGCAAATTACTATTTCTAATTTAAATATAATACCACATTGCGATACGAGGTACTGTTAAGTGTGCTAGCTTTATTTAAATCTTCTTTTCAATACTTTTTACGTGTTAACACCGGTTACAGTTAGCGCTTAATTTATGGAATATCTTGTTCTTGGGATACTAATTGCCAAGTTAAACAACGGTAATCACTTTGCACCGTAATTACTAATTAGCAGGTATATCTAAACAAGGGATACCATATGATCGATGTAAACAGTGCGAAATGAAGCTGACCTGTAATTAGGTCAGTAACGTTCCAACAAAAATGATTTTCCTGCATATTGTCGAAATTACCTGGGTAAATACGAAAAAGTGTTAGTGTCTTTGAAGGGCCATCTAGTCTTTACACGAAACTGCAGAAAATACCTTTCCAGCGACAAAGATCAAAAGTCCTTTATAGGCAGTCTCCTCCAAAATTCCACATTAGACGTTTTTTAATGTGCCCCTTACGACAATGGGGGTTTACAGTATATAGTTGAATTCCGCAGTTCTAATTTAATAAGCGTGTACCTGAAACCATAAAACATTTTTTTGGACAGTAAAATTTATTTAAAAATAGAGGTTGATTAGCAAAAAAATAATGAACATGTGCGGTTTTAAAGGTTTATTCAAAACGATATGATTGTGGCGGGCTCTGTGACGTAATAAGCCCGACCAATCAGCTCCTAGAACCATTCAGATGACACAACGACTTGGCAATATTGCAGGAGAATGGCATTTATAACTTGCGTCATCTGTCACAGGCACTTGTCACTTTCGTGCTAGATTCAGTTAAACCACAACCGTCTATAATTACAAGCCGTGCTGAGAATTATGGCAACACTGCATGGTAGGCCGATTTTCTAATTCAACTTGGCAGATTTCAGGTGTATTTTATATGTGTTTTGGATGTAATATTCCTATTTACCTGTTTTAACAGGGTGAGATTGCCACAATTTGTGTTACTCCATACAGAATGAACAGAAATTATTATTCAGGTAAGTTGCTAAACGAAATATATCGATTTGTTGTCATAACCTCTAAAGCAGGCTACTCCTAACTGGACCCTTTACAAGCACTTGTATTTGTCCAAAGTACCTGTAACAAGCTCAAATATGACCTACACACTACGTGGTACGTAAGTACGGTAAGTGTTTATCGTGAAAAAATACAATTATTATTTTATTAGTTTGTATTTCAGATATTCTAGCACGGACATGTCAAGTCGATTTTCTGAAGGAACCTTCCGACATTCCCAGGAGTCCAAGGTATGGGAATTTGAAGTCTACGGGGCTCCCTTCTTTAATATCTTGATACCTAGACCCACTGGAGTAGCGACTGGCTTAAAATCTGCCATTCCGAATCTCGCCTGGTCGTTGATAAAACCTCGCTTATGCAGAGCGATTTACTGTCCTTTTGCCGAAATTAAGTGCTCAAGCGTGTGCTTCACCTCGACCTCCTTCGACAGAAGTTCACCAATTTCGGAGATCTCGATGGAAAATACATTATGATGCAGTTACCAATTTACAGCGTTCCAAATTTTAAAGTCAAATAAAAATGTTATTATCCATGTTTGTAAATAAATAAAATATATGTACAATTGTAAGCTGCCTAAGTATCTTTCTTCTGTATTAAAACCACCAAGGTGAAACACAGGAAAGAGGAAAAATTGCATTTTTCAAGAGCAACAAGACTCCATTAAAACTTCAATCCACCTTCAATCGGCCCACCGATTGACTTTCGGACAACGTTGCCAAACTTCTCAGCATGGCTTGTAATTATAGACGGCTGTGGTTAAACATCCCTCTCAAAACGTCAAATGTGACAAACGTCAGACCCTCGCGTAAGGTTGCCAGCTCACTTCTACGTGATTGGTTGTAGGTTTGTGACGTATTTAGTCTAAAGCGTTTCAAATTCGGACTAAAAACACAGCTTTTCAATAATTTATTTTGGGTTTATTTTACTCGCAAATAAAAATTGAGGACACACGGGTCTTTTTATTTTTAATGTACTTTGTGGATCAGAAATAAAAAATGAAGGTTAAAAAAACGCATCACGTTTTCCATTTTAAGATTAGTGCAAAATTTTCATTCATTAGGTATAATATCAGTGCCTTTGATGGGACATCAGACACTTTATACCAAGGGGGAAATCTCAGATAGAATTTCGTACACCATCATCCATTTAGTAGAAGTATATCCGTGGATATCCTATGAAATTCATGGGGTAGGCTTGTTCATTCTCAGATTTTAATGGATATTCTTGGATTTCCATGGATATTCCTTGGACATATAGGTACGGATATCGTCGAATCTTCCTGAAGATAATGGCACATCTTCGAATTTCATCTGAGGACCCCATGGAAGACTGGAAATATCGATCGGTGATATGAACTGGCTCACAAATATTCATTGACAATTTTTGGTTGATTCATACTAAAATAGACCGGAGATCGAGTTGCAGGTTCTCCGTATTCGTCGACGTCCCCATAACGTCTTCCCCCAGAATATCAAACCAATAATTCAAATCTTGTGTGGTGCGCAAAGAAACCAATGTATCTTAACGGAAGAACAATCTCTTTCAGGTTACGCTGGCAGTGTAAAAACTCTGTCATCAAATTCGTTTCGAAAACGGGAAACCATATTGTCTCGTGGGCAGGAGGGAGATCCTAAACCCTTTCCATCATTCTCATGACTGCAAACAAGATATACAGGGTGTTCTAATTACGAAATTCCGATACTGATATTGGAAACTTCGCTTTGCCATTTTGACCTATCTGAAATAGCAATCTGACAACCACGTGATTTCAAAAAAATTTCGTTGTTGCAAAAGATATTTAATTTATTTTTGAAAATATCACATGAAGTTGTTTAAGTACTTAGATACTCAAATTTAGCATTAAATTCAGTTTTTTTAAAACTTTTTTGCCCACAGGGTTTTTGAGTTATAGCGTTGAATAACGAAATCAGATTTCACTCTACGGTTATATATCCTCAAAGGGGATAAGTATTATTTTAATGTCAGTGAGCTCAGGGTTTTTGGAAAAACGACGGTGCAAAAATAGTTATATGTTTAAATTGGACAAGTACAACTTCGTGCTAGAACTCGAAAACCGTTTCGTATGAGAAAAGGATAAAATTCGATTATAATTTTGATTCTATGTTTTTCCTATATTTTTTATTATAAAACCAAGTGTCAAATTCTTGACAGAATAGCTTCCTAGCTGAAAGCGCATGCGCAACACGATTTTTGCGCATGCATTTTGTTTGCTTTTATTAGAAGGATCTACCATCCAATTTTCGTTAAAATTGCTCCATAAATAAGAAAGTTGGATGTTGCACATGCGCAACTCGATTTTTTGCGCATGCATTTTGTTTTCTTTTATTAGGACGACCTACCATCCAAATTTCGTTTTAATTGTCCATAAATAAGAAAATTGCATTTCTGCGCATGCGCAACACGATTTTTGCGCATGAATTTTGTTTGCTTTTATTAAAGGGACTTACCATAGAAATTTCGTTTAAATTGCTTCAAAACAAGATCGTTGCGTTTTGCACATATGCAACACAATTTTTTGACTTTGACAATTTTTTTCTCCGTTTTTTGATAATATAACCCGGCCCAATTTTTGGTAGGTTGTACACAGGAAAATAAGGTCTTCCAAATAATAGAATAAAAATTTTAGGTTGCTATTTGAAAAAAAAAGTTCGATGCCGTTACGGCGCTCCAACATTTTTTTTCAAAAAATCCGGCCCGTTATTTTTCTGTTCGGTATGCCTAAAACATATATACAAAATTTCAACAAAATCCGTCGAGCCGTTTTCTCAGAAAATTGCCAACAAACGTACGTACGTACGTACGTACGTACGTACGTACATACAGACGGAAAAAAATTTTATTCTTTAAAAGTTGCTTAAAATGGTCTAAAACGTCGACATTTGATGAAATTTAGAAATGTTCAAAAAACGGCTATCGCAATAGCTACCTAGCACAAGCTAGGAAGCTAAAAATCAATTTCAGATGTGTTTTTTTCAAATTGTACACAATAAAGTAAAAACACTAATGTAATGTAGAACTTGGGGTGAAAATACCCTCTATTTCATGCGTTTTTTCAATGCGACCCTAATTGGGGCATTTCTTTTAGCTTCCTAGCATGTGCTAGGTAGCTATTGCGATAGCCGTTTTTTGAACAATTCAAAATTTCATCAAATGTCGACGTTTTAGACCATTTTAAGCAACTTTTAAAGAATAAAATTTTTTTCCGTCTGTATGTACGTACGTACGTACGTACGTACGTACGTACGTTTGTTGGCAATTTTCTGAGAAAACGGCTCGACGGATTTTGTTGAAATTTTGTATATATGTTTTAGGCATACCGAACAGAAAAATAACGGGCCGGATTTTTGAAAAAAATTTTGGAGCGCCGTAACGGCATCGAACTTTTTTTTTCAAATAGCAACCTAAAATTTTTATTCTATTATTTGGAAGACCTTATTTTCCTGTGTACAACCTACAAAAAATTGGGCCGGGTTATATTATCAAAAAACGGAGAAAAAAATTGTCAAAGTCAAAAAATTGTGTTGCATATGTGCAAAACGCAACGATCTTGTTTCTGAAGCAATTTAAACGAAATTTCTATGGTAAGTCCCTTTAATAAAAGCAAACAAAATTCATGCGCAAAAATCGTGTTGCGCATGCGCAGAAATGCAATTTTCTTATTTATGGAACAATTTTAACGAAATTTAGATGGTAGGTCCTTTTAATAAAAGCTAACAAAATGCATGCGCAAAAAATAGTGTTGCG